ATATTTGTTATTATTTATTTATATAGGCAGTTGTAGGGGTTTTATTCAGGAGTTCCTGGCTAAGGGGGTTGGGCTCAAGTTTTCCTGTTGCTCTGGCCAGCTGGAAGTGCATCCTTCTGACCACTGGATGTTTTCTGATGTCCCTCCTCTTACTGAGACAAGTTCAATAATCTGTTCAGTTTTAAAGTGATGGAACTTCTGATAACAAACATTTTGTTAACAGCTTAGAGCTATGCTTCAGACTAAGCATTTGAGAAGCACAAACACAATGGAGCAGCAAACGGAATAGGACAGCACCTTTGAGAATTACTGATAGCACATTTTTGTCCATCTCTGTTCTCTCCTTAGGCTTCGAAATGATTACATGCTTATTGGCCTTGTACAGCACTGCCTTCCTCTGTCTCCAGCTCAGATGGGCTAGCTTCTGTTGCTTCTCCTCATATTCCATCCTGTGTTCCTTTTGCTTTGCTTCAATAACTTCCGCATCCCTTTTCATCTTCTCCTGTTGTTCAACGTAGGTTCTCCAAGCCACAACTTCATGCGCCCTTTGCTGGGCAGGAAGACAGAAACGTTACCTTTCAAAGCACTGCATCGGAAAACCCCACAGTAATGCAGTTTCATCCTTCTGCATCTCCTCTACAGGCTCACTCATTTTCTTTCAGGTTTACCAACAGATTTTGCTGCAAGGATGGCAGAGAATGAGCACAACAGCTCAACAACATGACTCGAGGCCTATTTTTATGGTATCTCTGCATTGCAGAAGAGAATTAATTATTGTTCATTCTTTCAGGTAGTATTTGTCCAGCTCTCACAAGACCTATTTCAAGCTATAACTTATACATATTAATTTGTCAGAAACTACTACTCTCATTCTAAAATTAAAACATTGATGCCATTAAGTCCTGGACTGTTCTCCAGGTAAGGTGACAGTGTGATCATATAAAAGAGAAAAGTCTTCTGTGCCTTTAGACAGGGAACACCTTAGAACATATCCCAGATTACCCCAGCAGAAGCCATTCAGGACTGCAGTCATTGCAAACAAAGCATGGGGGAAGGCAGGATGACCATGAGAAGCAAAAGCATGAACCAAAGCTGACTCATCTTTAACTCCAGAGGCAGCCTGCCTTCTTCATGTGATTGTAAAGCAGGTTAATCTGGATGCATGGAGATGAGGACAGTCTGGCAGGGGAAAGGTGGGGGCAGTGGAAAAGACAGAGGCAATATGCAAATCCTCATTCCTCTTACAGATCACCTAATTCAGGTCTCTCAATACCTATGCTCAGCCTTCGTCTTTCAGCAGATTACCCAGGTTATTTAGAACAAAAGCTATCACTTATTTTTCACTCAGCTCCTTCTCATCCACCTTACTGCAGTGTAAGTTTTCCATTAAACAGTTCTTTCTGTACCTCAGATTCCACTTCAAGGATTTCATCTCCTGCCGAAGGGACTTCCTTCCAGCCCATGATTTCCACTGGGATGCCTGGAGAGGCTGCATCTACAGCTTTGCCATTCTCATCAAACATGAAACGCACTTTTGCCCAAGTCTTCCCAGCAACCAGAACACAGCCTTTTCTCAGAGTTCCTCTTTGGATGATGGCTGTGGTAACTGGACTAGTGAAGAGCAGAAGAGAAAAATAACAGACAAAATTAAAGTGACTCTTCTCCCTGTTTTCACAGTTGGCATAGGTCACCAAACACAAAACAGAATGTACTTGTGATCGATCACAGGTGGAATATTCCTGTGACACATTTTATTAGAGCACTAATAAAATTTTGAAGTGAGCTGCAAAAAGCCCAAAACCTGTACTGTACTCTTTTCATTTCTGCAGATCAATACAAAACTTGACATTTGTAAAATCAGCAACAGACTGATTTTACACATGAAGTGACACCCCTCCCTTCCCCCCAAAAAAACAAACCCCAACAAATTTCTAGAATTCAGTTCATTTTTAAAGAGGTCAGAACACGCCTTGTTTACAGAGAACCTGCAAAAGGATTAAAATATTTTGAAGAGTAAAATGTCTTGTTACACATAAATTGCCAAAAATGGTATATGTATTGTATTATGATTATTAACTTCATCATTCCTACTTTTTAATGACATTTAAAAAAATACATCTGTTCTAGCATTTTAAACTATTTCCTGTGCTTACAGGATTCTATTTCAGCGATATGATGATTTCTGCCCTATCAGTTTGTAACTTCTTTTTCTGGCTCTCATGCTATAGAATAACATTTCAATGCTTTAGTTACAAACACCAAAAAGACACTGTTACAGTTTCATCTAACAACAACAAGTTCAACATTAAACATAAATATTGAGGTACAAACCACCTAACATTATCTCTGCATTGTTACAAATTGCTTCATTAAAGTCATAAAGGCAGCAGATTACTTACCCTTTCCCTTTGTCTTTGCGAGACTCAATTACAGTCCCTTCTACCAGACCTGTGGAATCTGCCTTCAGTTCTAACATCTCCGCTAAAGCAACAGTTGCTTCTGCTAAAACCATCAGGTTTTCCCCCTGTATAAAACCATACGCACACAAAATATATATATATATAGACTAAAGGAAGTGCCCAATTAAAGATCAGAAGTTGAAATCTTAGTGCCGAATTCCCCTGTTTAATTCAGAACTTCTAACAATGCAATACAGTCCAAAAGCACAGAGCCCTTTGCCTTCAAGACAAGATGACACTCCAGTAATGAACTATTAAGACTGCTGGACAGACGCCCCAGAATGCATGATACACTAGGAAGGGCAGTTTCCTTGCTTCTCTGTTCATAGTATACAGGTTAAGGATGCAGAAAAAGACCTTGCAATATTCTGCTACAAGTATATTACAAATGCAAATTAAAAAAACAACCAACTAACACACCTAAACAGCCAAATTGAAACTTGATGACATCTACCACTCAGTCAAGACGCCAGGACATCACAGACAAAACTGTTTGTCTGTTTTCTTTTTTTTATTTTCCCTTTGTTCTAATTACATTTTATTGACACATACAATGAGCTAGCTGTCCGTCAGCAGATCCAGATCTACAATAACGAGGGCAACAACAGGTGCTACAGAAGTGAATGAAGAAGCCATTTTTAAGTATGTCTATTTTAAAGTGTAAGTGCATGACTTCAAAAAGTCTTGAACTTGCTTGAAATTTTAGAAAATTACTTGGCATGCATTTAGGAAGATAGCAATAAGGCTAAGATACTGCTGCATCAGTTTGGACAAAGCTGCTTTGGCCACCACAAAACTAAAGTTCAAATTTTAGTTCAGTTTTTGGCTACCAGTTGTTTGCAAGGATGAGATGGTAAATCCTGTAGGACGACTACAAAACTATGTTCCTGTGATTAGGCATGAGTTAGGATATTTAATTTATCCTCATTTGACTTTTTCTCTTTGTGCACAGCGTTATCACCAACCTTGATTTTGCACTGATTTCATACAATGACGGAGAGCAAAGTACAATTAGGATTAACCTGAAAAATACCCACTAAATTTCCAGAAGAAAAATGAGACATCATTGCTCACTGAAGGTCTGAGCCTCAAAATATGACAGAAGTATGTTTCAAATAATTTTGGTGGGAGCCAGCAGCACTTATCTCATGGTAAGGTGTCAAAATACCAGGAAGATAAGCATTTTATTTTCCAGCTGCCAAATAAAATAGGTGCAATCGTATGCACATATTAGATGCCTATGAACACCATCGTTTTCTCCACCAAAACTTTACCTTGAGTGCAGAAATATTTACAGCTTGAACATCCCCTCCAAAGTCTTCACAGACCACATCGTGAGCCAGCAATTCCTTCTTTACTCTTTCAGGATCAGCTTCAGGTTTGTCACATTTATTAATGGCAAGGATAAGAGGAACTAAAAAGAGAACAAACTCATTAACAACCTAACCAAAACTTGCTGCTGCTAGCATACCAGCAATAAAAAGTTAGAGCAGGTTATGACCACTTGGAACAAATCATCTCACTCGCTGCCTATTCCCTGAGAAGCCATTGAGATCTGAGCTACCATGAGTAAATTGGAGGAGTTATCCTAAGAAGAAAGGGAAAAAAAAAAAATCCCAATAATAAACTACCGCCCCACACCCTATGAGTTTTCTCACAAACCTGCAAGTCCTGCAAAAATATTGGTATTTTAATATCTTTATGTATTACTGCAACATTCTATACGTTTCCAAACACCTTCCCAGGGCAGAAGGAACAGGACTACAACAGTTACTTCCCAAGTTCTGTGGATTCCAGTTCACGGAGTTTCTTTTGAGAGGTAAATAAACGTTTGCAAAGCACTCATTATTTGAACTCCATACTAACACACACCCTGTATATTAAATCTATCTACTGGGCTTGCCACTCACTTCAAAATGTAATATTAACAACTTGAACACCATACCTCCTGCATTTTTAGCATGTTGAATGGATTCTACGGTTTGTTGCATTACTCCGTCTTCTGCCGCTACAACCAGTATGACGATGTCAGTAACGTGGGTACCTCTTGCTCGCATGGCTGAAAAAGCTGCATGTCCAGGAGTATCAAGAAAAGTTATCTTTTCCCCAGAAGGCAAATGCACTGTGAACAAATGTATATGGTATATTTTAAAATCAGCGTTTCACACAGCTTTATTTGACCTACTGTAAATCAAGCAGCACTTCTTTAAGAACTTTTTTAATAAGAATGACATATTTTAGGCAGACAGATAACTGATGGCATGGAGGTCAAAGGTGCTTTTAACTCCTCAGGAAAGAGAAAGTGTCCTGGGCTCTTCCATAATCCAAAATAGTCTAAAGATAATTTCAACTGCACACACAATCCACTTCTAAGTTCCATCCACATAATTATGACAGTTATGACAAGTTACCATTGCCTTTCTCACTGCTTACATACAAACTGTTTATGTTGCAACATCTTCCCCCAATGAACCGGAAGCAAGTCAGCCCGTTATGTCAGAGTAAACTGTTTTATACACAAGCACGTACACTTGGATCATACCAAGAAAAGCACCAATGTGTTGCGTAATGCCTCCTGCTTCCATAGATGCCACTTGACTTTTTCGTAGACTGTCAAGTAAGGTTGTTTTCCCATGATCGACGTGGCCCAAGATAGTAACAACCGGAGGCCGTGGGGTTAGTACTGCTGGGTCTGCAGGAGGCCTGCAATTAAAACAAAAACGCGTCCTGTAAATACCAGAAAAGGTCACTGAGTGACATGCATGCCCACTATGGCTAACAAAGAGCCATTTACCAGAACTCAGTGACAAACAGGCGAGGCTGGCTTCTCCCCACTGTGATCACAAATCCTAGCTACACAGTTTGCCCTCTCAGTACTCAGTCTTATTGCTGCATCAATTAATACAGCAATTCAGTATATCAAAGAAGAATTGGCTTTTCTTCAGAAAACGGCATAGAAAAAGCTCACCTAAAACAAATCAAATCAGAGTATCATTTTATGGCCAAAGAAATCAAAACAGTAAGCTTTACCCTTTAAAGTATTATCAGATTATGACAATATCAGACATTATCAACATACCACCAGAACAAGGAAAATACAGTATACGAAAAACACTTGCAGAAACAAATAGGGTAAAAAGAGCCAAAAACAACAGCTCACAACTTACCTTTTCACAGCATCTGTGTTTTCTCTTTCTTTTTCCTCTTTCAGTTTTGCCGATTTATACTTCATTCCTGATTTTTTAACAATTAGCTTGATATGGTCTTCATATAAGATGGAATCTGGTTCTAGTGAATCAAGGTCAATGTCTGTGTATAGCAGCGCTTCATAAATATGACCTGTAGAAAAGACGAAGACATTTAACTATTGCATCCACAAAGACAAGTGGGACAAAAACCCCAACAATTCATACAGTTTAGGACTTTTTCATTAGTAGTTTGTATCATGCTAATAAGTTTCATTTACAAAGCACTTTTCCTTTAGTTAGACTTAGCTAAAAGTTCCTGTTATGCTACATACTTCCAGAGAAGAACTTGATTCAGAAAGATTTACTGAAAATGACTGCCTTATTAGATGCTACAATCTTATTTTTCCCTCAGATTTTCATAGCTTACTTTTCCATTAACCCATAAGAAGAAAACAACTGAAACTTAGCTAAACCAAATAGCAGAGAAGTGATTCAAGGAGGAAGGAAATTTGATAAATCTGTTCACATGCCACTTTCTTTGGCAGTAGAAATACAGAATATATTGCAGTAGTCAAAAATTGTTACACGCTTATCTAAGTACCATTACAAATCTATCTCAGAAATGTACAGCAAGACGTGATAGACTTTTCTGCTTCTCTCCTCCTTGCTGAGAGGAAAGTTTGCCAGAAAAAGTATCCAGCTGGATAAAAAGAGATCGGAGATTGGTATCATACGGGTATGGAAGTATTTCAAATGTCACTAGTCAAAACATGCTAATAACTCCCCTAAAACATCACTGAAAACTAGTCAAGTGGAGCCACTCTACAACCAGGAATGGTTCATGGGGTTAAGAGAACAAGCCTGCTTTTGTAAGCCAGTTGTTAGGGCAGCCACCTAAAGAGGGGAGTGCTTCCAGACAAGTCCTGCTTGCTCCCAGTTAATCAAATAATTGTTTTAATGAAATACAGATTGCTCCCGAATCCAAGATTCCTGCTCCCAGGGCTGGATTATGGGCTGAAGCTCTTTTGCACCTTCTCTCTTTAGCCACAAATTCTTTACTCACAGGGTACCAACTTTGCCAAACCAGGGTGCAATGTTTTTCCTTCCAGAATAATTTAGCACTTAGGAAACACAGTCATAAAGAGCAGTCTGCATGGATCCGAAGCCTTTCTGCTGGAGACAGAAGAGAGTCCTGACTTGTTCACACTGAAGTGTCTTGCCTGGTAATCTGGATGGCCTAGCTGTTTTCTCTCTTTAGTTTGCCATTGTGTCTACCAACATTTTCTTTGGTATGGCTACAAACCACTTTGCTAAGGGAGGGATTAGCAACCACTAACTAATGCCATCGTAGACATCTTTGCCTTTATCACTCAGGAAAGTGGCATGATAGATTTTAACTGTCATGTTTCATTCAATCTCAAACAACAGAGCAGGCTCTCACCTATGTCTTTACCCATAGCTCGTGCAAGCTCCTCAATAGTCATCTTCTGCCTTATCTCCACTTCACCTTTTGTCAGTGGTATCTTCTTTTTCTTCTTTTTTGTCTCCTACATGGAATGAGACATGAACGTAGGAACACATAGCTGGCATAAACTAAGAAATAATAAAAACCATACTGAAATGACAATAGTCTCAAGCCATATGATGTAAACACACCTTTTTTACTACAATACTAATGAACTGCAATAAATGAATGACTTAACACATCATACTGAATATTTAAAATTTACAGCATACTACACTTAATCTTTTTTAATTTTTAATTTTTCAAAACAATGAAAAATCAACAAAAGAGTTTTCGTTCGTAATAATTTCCTCCTGCCTCTGCAAGATTCATGATGCTGCTGTATAAGCACTTTAAGTCAACATTTGAGGGAGTCACAATACAGTCATACATTAAGTACATTTTGTCGTAGAATTTCTAACAAATTCTCTATATTCACTAATAAAGCTCTTCTCTTTTTGTAATTAAAATGCTCAAACTGAGCTCTTGTACTTTGCAATTTCACATAAAACCCGATTATTGGATTTTGTTAATTACCTCCTTTGTAGCTAGATGTCTGTGTTGTGATAAGGCAATACTGATTAATTTGTCTTTTTGCCAGAGCTGCGGATACAGAAGAACGGACCACACGGGATGTGCAGATGACTGCACAGGCTTCCATTGTGCTCTGTAAACTTTTCTGTAGGAGAGAGTACGCAGCTGCCGGCAAGCACCACGTAACTGGACCAGATTTTCAAACTTTAGTATCAACCCTCGATTCATCTCCTCACTGAAAATACAAAGGACACATTGAAATCAGTCTCAAAGCTGAAAGATACTCTTTCCTATGATAATACGGACAGGAACACAAGGCACAAATGGTATGTTTCAAAACAGGCTTTTTAATGCTGAAAAAGCTGAACTATTTAGTAACTGTTCCAGTTTTTCAGTTTCCTTAAGCGCTTCACCTTTCTGCACTATCCCACTGCAAACACACATATCTACTAACGTGGCGAAAGCTGACAAATCTTTCACTTTCTCCACTGGTCTTTAATATAAACAACTGAAATCCCCATTTCAGGTTCTCTGACACTACTGAGAAAAAAAGGGACGTTTGCACTCCTCGTGCTATAGTGATAGAGTTATCCAGGTGCAACCTACCTCCCTAAGCCAGTAAAACATATTTGCAAAATGCTGCCCACATGAGTGCATACCACCACTAAAAGACTACAGCGTTGTAGTAATACCACTGTTGTCACATGGACAGAGACGTCCTTGCTAAGCCCAGGCTCAGCAATTAAGCTTTCCAAGACGCTTCTATCAGATCATCCCACATCTTGTTTTAACCATCTTAACTTTGGTTTGAGTTATTTTGCTAATTATCCTATACAAGAGTCTCCCGTTTGAACTTCTCTTCTTGTTCAGAGTTGCCTATTTTGTCCTTCTGCTCAGTGATGTCATTCTCTATACCTTCTATGTCTTCTCTCAAAGGTGGCTTTGTGCCATCTTCCAAGCAGCTCCAAATGAGTGAAATGCTACCAGTTCCTCTCAGAATGACTGCGGTCCCTTTAAAAACTCTCTCGTATCCGGATACCTGCAGGAAGTGAGCAGATGACAAACAAACCAACCAAAACCAAACACTCTTTTCTTCCCCCCCCC